TTAAAATAACAATCATTTAAAACAAAATTACAATAATATGAAATGCATATTCAAACCTAAACAACAACAATAACAACTACAACAACAACAACAACAATAATAATAATAATAATAATAATAATAATAATAATAATAATAATAATAATAATAATAATAATAATAATAATAATAATAATAATAATAATAATAATAATAATAATAATAATAATAATACACCTAGCTTCTCTTGAAGTACTTCTCCTTGATACTTTGACAAATTTCTTCATGCTCTCGGCGTTGCTCATCATCCATTGCTGATTTGTCCTTCATGAGAATTTCATATAACACGGGTATGCTCTCTGCCATCTTTGCTTCAACTATTTTACCATAGATAGCTAATTTATTTTCTGAGGCCCTTTCCATGCCAGTCAAATCCACTATGGGTGTTTTAGATGAAGATGCTTTTCCCTTGCCCTTCCTTTTTTCCGCCTTTTGTCCTGCTGGGCGGTCGGTCTGAGTTGCACTGTTGTATTCTGAACAATCTATGGGATTTTCTGGATTAGATGACGATGAATATGTCCCGGTAGAGGATATCTTTGATCTCTTTGAAGAGTTTTTCATTTCTTGCCCCTTCCATTTAGGTTCATCCTTCAACATCCTCCACGCGTGCTCCATTGTGAAACGTTGATGATGCACTTGGACAAAAATTTGATGTGCCTCTTCCATGACGTCTGTCTCAGACTGTCCACTTTTCTTGTTAGCAATAGCTAGTTTGTAGTTTCCGCAAAACCATTGACAATGTTTATTCAATAGATGCCATCGAGATTTGAGTGTAGACCACTCTCTCGCTACAAGTGGTCGACGATAGTTGTTATAGCCATCTTTGGTTCTACCCCAAAAACTATATGCTTTTTGGTCAACTCCGATTATTGAAACTTTGGAAATGTTAAGGCATGTCTGAATAAGCAATTTATCTTCTTCTTCTTCTAAGAACCTGATACGCTATTTTATTTGGGTTGAACGTTCTCCTTCTCCCGAAAAAGTAATATTTTCTAGACCATCCTGAGTGGAGTTGCCTGGCACTTGAGAATCTGTAGTGGACCCAATTGGTGATTCTGATTCAACGTTAGGAGACTCTACAACGTCGATGGTTGGTGGTGGTTGAAACATAAACGGTCGGGTATATTGAGAATTGTTGCCGGTAGAGAATGGTGGTGATTGAAACATAAAAGGTTGGAGATTTTGAGAACCTTCACCAATAAGGAGCGATGGTCGCGGACACATTTGAAAATTTTGAGAACTGTCACTGGGAGTTTGTAAATAATTATAATAAGTATTCCATTGGTTGGGATCCATTTGATAAATAAATAAGATTGGAAATGGAAAGAAAAAAATTTAGAAGTAAAATTGTGTGTAAAAAAAATTAAAGTTTCTATAGAATTTATAGAAGGTAAAAAATGATAATATGACCGTTACTATTTTCAAATATCATGCCATTACTTTAATGCTGTTGAAATATTTTATTAATTAAATAAATAATATTATAATATATTTCACATAGTTAACGTTAACTATATAGATAATGGGAACTAAATTTTAGTTCACTTAGATGCCATGTCAGCTCTACTATAATGCAAATTCTTTATTATTAACGTAAGCTATACAAAATTTTGGTTTAACAACCCTGCACTAAAGTTGCTCTAGAGCATCTTTAATGGGAGTAAACTAAGATATTTTTTGTGGGTCCAAAGTGTTTTGTAGGATTTAAAAATTTATAGTTGATTTGAGTAGTTTTTACTTTAATGATGGTTGTCTATAAGAAACCAAAACTTGACCCCACATTTTATATTTTTTATTCATGTTACCATTAATTTAATTATTTTAATTAAAATGCATACAATTTTTTAAATAAAATTTACCTTAAAAACTTAGAAACAATATTAAATATATTTTATTATAAAATTAAAAATGATACAAAATTCACAACAATAATACAGAAAAAAAATTACATTTTCATAGGAATATAAAATAATACATGACAATAAGCAACAAATTATATTTTAACAGAAATATAAAATAGGACAAACTAACTTTCGTTGTTCTCATGACCAAATCTCTCCCAAATATGTTCCACCAAGTCTGCTTGAAGTTGGCGATGATTTTGCCTTTGATGAACATGTGCTATCCTTTCAAACATTGTTGTCAAGTTGAGAATTGGACCAGTAGATACTTCAGTTGTGGAGAAATTATTATCAACATGGTCGTAATCAAAATTACCAGCATATGTGTCTCGCTCATCTTTGACAATCATGTTATGCAATATGATACATGCTAACATTATGTGTTTCATTGTATTCACATGCCAAGCACGCGCTGGACCACGTACAATAGCGAATCGGGCTTGGAGCACTCCAAATGCCCGTTCAACATCCTTTTGTGCTGATTCTTGTCGTTGGGCAAATAACTTTCTGTTTTCTCCTTGCGGCATAGGGATGGTCTTGACAAATGTTGCCCACTCAGGATAAATGCCATCAGCTAGGTAGTACCCCATATGATATGTTGTTCGATTCACCGAGTATTGTACTGCAGGAGCTTTTCCATTCAAAACATCATTAAACACATCAGACGTGTTTAACACATTAATGTCGTTGTTAGAACCCGCAGTTCTAAAATATGCATGCCAAACCCACAAGTCTTGAGATGCCACAGCTTCAAGCATGATTGTGGGTTTACCATGATCACCTCTAGAAAATTGAACTTTCCATGCGATAGGACATTTTTTCCATTCCCAATGCATACAATCAATTGAACCCAACATACCTGGAAAGCCGCGTGCTGCGTTATAACGGCTAGTTTACAACGACTAGGTTTATAACGGCTAGTTTACAACCGATAGTTTTTTATAACAGCTAGTTTTACAACGACTAGTTTTTTTATAACGGCTAGTTTTACATAGCTAATTTGAAACATAGATACAAAATTAAAATAACAATCATTTAAAACAAAATTACAATAATATGACATGCATATTCAAACCTAAACAACAACAATAATAATAATAATAATAATAATAATAATAATAATAATAATAATAATAATAATAATAATAATAATAATAATAATAATAATAATAATAATAATAATAATAATAATAATAATACACCTAGCTTCTCTTGAAGTACTTCTCCTTGATACTTTGACAATTTCTTCATGCTCTCGGCGTTGCTCATCATCCATTGCTGATTTGTCCTTCATGAGAATTTCATACAACACGGGTATGCTCTCTGCCAACTTTGCTTCAGCTATTTTACCATAGATAGCTAATTTATTTTCTGAGGCCCTTTCCATGCCACTCAAATCCACTATGGGTGTTTTAGACGAAGAAGCTTTTCCCTTACCCTTCCTTTTTGCCGCCTTTTGTCTTGCTGGGCGGTCGGTCTGAGTTGCACTGTTGTATTCTGAACAATCTATGGGATTTTTTGGATTAGATGACGATGAATATGTCCCGGTAGAGGATATCTTTGATCTCTTTGAAGAGTTGTTCTTTTCTTGCCCCTTCCATTTAGGTTCATCCTTCAATAACCTCCACGCATGCTCCATTGTGAAACGTTATTGATGCACTTGGACAAAAATTTGACGTGCCTCTTCCATGACGTTTGTCTCAGACTGTCCACTTTTCTTGTTAGCAACAACTAGTTTGTAGCTTCCGCAAAACCATTGACAATGTTTATTCAATAAATGCCATCGAGATTTGAGTGTAGACCATTCTCTCGCTATAAGTGGTCGACGATAGTTGTTATAGCCACCTTTGATTCTACCCCAAAAACTATCTGCTTTTTGGTCAACTCCGACTATTGAAACTTTGGAAATGTTAAGGCATGTCTGAATAAGCAATTTATCTTCTTCTTCTAAGAACCTAATACACTATTTTTTTTGGGTTGAACGTTCTCCTTCTCCCGTAAAAGTAATATTTTCTAGACCATCCTGAGTGGAGTTGCCTGGCACTTGAGAATCTGTAGTGGACCCAATTGGTGATTCTGGTTCAATGTTAGGAGACTCTACAACGTCGATGGTTGGTGGTGGTTGAAACATAAACAGTCGGGTATATTGAGAATTGTTGCCGGTAGAGAATGGTGGTGATTGAAACATAAAAGGTTGGAGATTTTGAGAACCGTCACCAATAAGGAGCGATGGTCGCGGACACATTTGAAAATTTTGAGAACTGTCACTGGGAGTTTGTAAATAATTATAATAAGGATTCCATTGGTTGGGATCCATTTGATAAATAAATAAGATTGGAAATGGGAAGAAAAAAATTTAGAAGTAAAATTGTGTGTAAAAAAAATTAAAGTTTCTATAGAATTTATAGAATGTAAAAAATGATAATATGACCGTTACTATTTTCAAATATCATGTCATTCCTTTAATGTTGTTGGAATATTTTATTAATTAAATAAATAATATTATAATATATTTCACATAGTTAACTTTAACTATATAGATAATGGGAACTAAATTTTAGTTCACTTAGATGCCAGTCAGTTCTACTATATTGCAAATTCTTTATTATTAACGTAAGCTATACAAATTTTTGGTTTAACAACCCTACACTAAAGTTGCTCTAGAGCATCTTTAATGGGAGTAAACTAAATGGGTAAACTAAGATATTTTTTGTGGGTCCAAAGTGTTTTGTAGGATTTAAAAAATTTATAGTTGATTTGAGTAGTTTTTACTTTAATGATGGTTGTCTATAAGAAACCAAAACTTGACCCCACATTTTATATTTTTTATTCATGTTACCATTAATTTAATTATTTTAATTAAAATGCATACAATTTTTTAAATAAAATTTACCTTAAAAACTTAGAAACAATATTAAATATATTTTATTATAAAATTAAAAATGATACAAAATTTACAACAATAATACAGAAAAAAAATTACATTTTCATAGGAATATAAAATAATACATGACAATAAGCAACAAATTATATTTTAACAGAAATATAAAATAGGACAAACTAACTTTCGTTGTTCTCATGACCAAATCTCTCCCAAATATGTTCCACCAAGTCTGCTTGAAGTTGGCGATGATTTTGCCTTTGATGAACATGTGTTATCCTTTCAAACATTGTTGTCAAGTTGAGAATTGGACCAATAGATACTTCAGTTGTGGAGAAATTATTATCAACATGGTCGTAATCAAAATTGCCAGCATATGTGTCTCGCTCATCTTTGACAATCATGTTATGCAATATGATACATGCTAACATTATGTGTTTCATTGTATTCACATGCCAAGCACGCGCTGGACCATGTACAATAGCGAATCGGGCTTGGAGCAATCCAAATTCCCGTTCAACATCCTTCTGTGCTGATTCTTGTCGTTGGGCAAATAACTTTCTGTTTTCTCCTTGCGGCATAGGGATGGTCTTGACAAATGTTGCCCACTCAGGATAAATGCCATCAGCTAGGTAGTACCCCATATGATATGTTGTTCGATTCAACGAGTATTGTACTGCAGGAGCTTTTCCATTCAAAACATCATTAAACACATCAGACGTGTTTAACACATTAATGTCGTTGTTAGAACCCGCAGTTCTAAAATATGCTTGCCAAACCCACAAGTCTTGAGATGCCACAACTTCAAGCATGATTGTGGGTTTACCATGATCACCTCTAGAAAATTGACCTTTCCATGCGACAGGACAATTTTTCCATTCCCAATGCATACAATCAATTGAACCCAACATACCTGGAAAAGCCGCGTGCCGCGTTATAACGGCTAGTTTACAAACTTCGCTGTGTCTGCGTATTGTACAAACTTCGTTAGATGTTCGTTCGGATCCTCAGTTGCGTTTCCTGAGAATTGGTTTTGTTGTACAACCGACAACAATGATGGTTTCAGCTCAAAATCGTTTCGGGTAATAGTTGGGGCAGCAATGCTACTTCTAGGCTCCATCTGAGATGGTGTAGCGTATGCCTTCAGCGGTTTGTTCGGAGGTCCTTCAGCCATCTCTGGTTCTTCTTCTTCTGATTTGGGAATGGGAGTGAGAGGTTCGGGAGTGTTATGTTTGAGTTGTTTGAGTTGGTACTCAATGATTCTACTTCTTAAATGTAAGAAGCGTTCTAGTTCTGCGACTGAAGGTTTTACGATATCGCTTTGCGGGCGATTTCTTGGCATACAATCGACAGAACTAGTAAAGGAAAAATGAAAATTGTTAACCTAGTCTATACGGCGTAACAGAAGGTTACACTATTGACTAAACGGGTCCCCGGCAACGGCGCCAAAAACTTGATCGCGACTTTCTATGTCTAATACAACTAACTGCAAGTGCATAGTCTATCGCGTAGTAATAATAAATATCGATCCCACAGGGACTCGTAATCAAACTAGTGTTCTCGGGAGTTACTATGTTTAGCTAGGTAGAATATGTTTTAAGGGAATAAGATTGTCACTAAAAGAGGGAACTAAGATTACTATTTAGATTTTAATTAATTGAATCGATACGTAGTAATTGTGTTCTTCAGGGATTTGATAAATTATTGGTGTATGAAATAGTTTTCACAGTTTATTTAAGCAGAAAATGGAGATTCGAAGACTCTCGTCTCACGATGGTTGTTGACGCTAATCATAATCCTAAGGGCCAAACGTATACTTTCGTATCCCGTTCGGGGTTAAAATCATTTTTTGGAAATCTCTAAGTTCTAATTCATTTTAAAGTGCTTTCGCTGTTATTAAAACAAATGCCTAGTGTTTACTATCTGACCTTACCGCAACTTTCGCTTGTTGGTTCGTATCTTAATTAATTTCCCACTTTCGTGGCAAAACTACTTTTAAATAAGTTCTCGCTTTCGCGACGAAGTTTATTTCGTGAATCAATTTTAAACACTCAGACCATAATTTACTTTTGTGAAAAGAAAGTTTTCAAACAAGAGTTATCAAATCCCATTCGAATTATTACTACATATCGATTACCTAAGTTTAGCTAGACATGGAATTGGGAAAAACAAAACATAAATAAGAATAATAAATAATAAATTGCATTATAATAAAACAGAAGTCGATCAAAATGAAAACCTGTAAATATGCCAATTGGCCTTTGGGCAGATCCTCCATAGATGTTGGCAGGATTCTGGTCTTTAGTTCCAAATTGATCGTACAGTACAATAGAAATTCCAAAAGAGCGGAAATGGGAATAAGGAAATGTAAAGGGAAATGAATACAAATAAAAACTGGAAAGTAAGTTGCTCTGGAAATTAAATTCGGCAGCACTTCGTGGTATGAATGCAGCACCCTTTCTGAAGTTCCCTGCTTCCCTTTTTATAGAAGTGGAATCCCAACGGTTATCTCTGAGGATGATGGACCTTGAGGCAGATAATTTAGGGAGTAGTGGTCCACTTAATGGGAATTGGAACTGCTCTTTTGACGTGTAATCTGAGTGGGGCGTTTTTGCCTGCATGACGGTCGTCACAAGGTGTGACGGTCGTCACCCGTGTGACGGTCGTCATGAAGCTGTGACGGTCGTCACATCAGCAAAAACTGGTTGCTGCGCTTTTCATTGTATTTTCACTCCTTTTTCGTCCATATTTCATCTGAGATTGCTTCTTTTCTTCATGTTGCCTTGTTTAGACGTGATCGTTGAATACCTGCAAAACATCAGACAAATACACGGAAATAACCCGAAATCGGATCGAAAACGGTTAGACTTTAGTTGAATTATGCATAAAAATATCTATATGATTTCATGTTATCAAACTCCCCTAAGCTTGAATCTTTGCTTGTCCTCAAGTAAAACATGGAAAAGTCGGCAAGCACGAGGCTGCTTCTTCGTTCGCAGAGTTTAGAAAAACCGGGATTCTTGGTAGGAACAAGACGAGTATCACGACGACACTGGACTACAAGTCTTCGGAGGTCCCCTTTTTATGCAAATCGGTCTCAGTCATGCTACTGTATCTTGGTGTCAAGGTTCTCGCGGCAAGTTCACCCTGTTTGTTCTAGCGCAATCATATTAAGCCCGTTGTCCGCACACTTTCATGGCAAGTCGACCTGTTAGTGAATATGATCTCGCTTCTGTTTTTTTGATCTGCTTCATTTGATCATAAGTTTATGTCATTGATTTCCAATGAGTTTTTCGTGCCGTTGGGCTAAATGCTCGGGTGAGGAGCACCTAACTTAGAAGGAAACGTATCTTATATTCTTGGGCTTTTTAGCTCTCTTTTCATGATTTTTCATCTTTTTGGAGATCATACACTTATTTGCATTGGTCGCTTGCTTAGAAATGTTTTTAGGATGGTGCTGACTGCTAGTATAAACTACTTGGGGTTGAGTTTGCGTAGACACTTGAGACTTTGGTACACGTAGGTGGTGAAACCGACTCGCATAAACTAGAGATCTAAGGTGTCTGGATGATACTGGTTTTGTTAGAACTGTTGTTTCCTCGGAGTTTCAAAACTTGGTTTGAACTCAGGTGCATTCTCGTGGTGCTTTTGCTTTTGAGGAACGAACTAAAATTTTTCTGTTTACGTTGAATAATGTGGGGATTGTTTGCGTAACGTGAAAAATATATAGACGAGCTTTATTTTCTAGAAATAGAAAGTGTAAAAATAGATATTACTAAAATTCAAAGTGCAGTGAAATGGAAATAAAGGAAATAAGGGAAGTTCAGAGTACAGTGGAAATAAGGCTCCGCTCCCACACTATCTTGATCAGTGTCCTCACTGATTCTTGAAGCATGCGAGAGGGAGATACAACTGAAAATGAAAATACAGAATACTGAAATATAGTAAACAATGAAGGAAAAATAAAGGGGAATCTAGTCTCGGCCTCTGTCACGTCCGCGCTGGCGTCCTCTGGCTCTAGCAAGGGCGACTCTATCCTCATAGCTCATGGCTCTGGTGTGGTAGACCGTGTCTCGGAGTCCTTCGACCTGCAGGGTCAGATTCGCTAGGCTCTCAGTGATCGTAGCTTGGCCGGTGTGAAGTTGCTGCATTTGAGTGCGGTGCCAAGCTTCGAACTGGTCAGCTCGCTGGTTCTGCTGCTGCAGCATCGTGAGTATCTGTGCCTGCTGGTAGGGGTGTTCAAATAAACCGGTTATTTAAATAATCCATATTCATATTTAAATCCGGTTATTAAAAACCGGTTAATTATTAGTATGGTTTTAACCAAATCCACATTTTGGATATATTTTTAATATGGTTTTAACCAAATCCATAATTTGGACATCCATATCCAAAATAAAAATAAAATTAGTCAAAAAATTTTAATTAAAAAAAAATTTTGAAATTTTTTTTCAAAAAAAAGATATTTTTATTTTGAAAAAAAATATTGTTTTAATTTTTTTCAGTAAATAAAAATTTTATGAATTTTAAAATTCATAACCTAAAATTATGATTTTGAATATTATGATTTTGAAATTCATAATTTTTAAATTCATAATATTGTTAAAATAATAATAGTAATTAAAACTCTAATTTACTCAGTCCTTCTTTATTTAAATTAGTCCTCCAGTTCACACAAACTAAATGACTATAAAAAGAAAAAATATCATATCTACAATCAAAATAGATTTGCCGTTTAATTCAATCAATGCAAATTTAGATGATATTCTTTTTATTTTATTTTTTAGTTTTTAACCATCTCAAATAAGAATTTTAATTTAATTCAATAATTGTTCAAACGACAACAACCGTTTATTTTTTATTGTAATTTATATACAAAAATCATATTTAAATATTAAATAATTATTATTTTTTAATAACACATATTTTTAATTACAAATCAATGAATTATATAGGAAAGAAAAAATAGATAGATTGGAGTAACTGTAACCAATATTATTATTTAATTGTTAAATTGGTTTAATAAATTTAAAATATAAAACTAAACTGATATTTTTTAAATATGGAGATGAATTAGATGAAATGATATATATTAATAGTTAAATTGAATCCATTCAATTAACTAACTTTTCATTTAATAATGAAGGAATTGAATGAACTTTTCATTCATGAATTTTAACAATAATAATTATGAATTTAAACAATAGTAATTATGATTTTGAATATTTAGAGGCCAAAAATTATGAATTTAAAAAAAACAATAGTTATTTTAACAATATTATGATTTTGAAAAAATCAATTTTAAAATAAAATTAAATCAAAACTAATTATAAAATTGGTTATGGATATAACCGGTTAATAACCGGTTTATAACCATTTTTAAAAGATAAAAACCGGTTATGAAAATTAGTTTTAATAACCGGTTGTAATATATGGATTATTTATGATTATGGATTGGTTTTGGACATTAACCATCCATGACCACCCCTACCTGTTGGTCTAGGGAGCGACGGAGGTCCTCTTCTGTGTAGTCTGGCACGGGATGATGACGGCGGCGGCGTGAGGATGTACCTACGGGAGGAGGAGGCTGTGATGCCTCTGGCTGCTCAGACCTGTCCAACTCAGCTTGGATTTCATCTTCGGAATCATAAGTGGGATCCTGAGTAGGAACAGCGGCAGCAGGAGGGGCAGTGAGGTCGAACAACCAGTTGGTACGGTCCTCTGGATGGATGCGGGTGCGGGACGGAAGGATGATGCTTCGGACGGTCTTGCCACGCACAACTGGATGGTATTTCCCGTCAGCTCGGGAGCGGATGAGATGGGAGGCTCTGCAGTGGTCGGTGTCAAGGAACACCGAGGGGATGGAATGGAGGTGCTGGAGGCAGTCGCCAAGGTTCAGCCCAAGTGCAAT